CACGGGACCCCGGTGGACCCCGCCCCGGGCCCCCAGACCCCCACAGCGGGGGGAGGGGGGACCCGCCCGCCCCACGCGGCTCCCCACGTCCCGCGCGTCCCTCCCAATCCCTGGATTGCTAGGCCAGCGGGCCACGCGAGGGACTTCCAGCCGGAAGGGACCCTAAAGGTGCGCGGGTTCATCGCGAATGTTCCGGGCCAGGCTCAGAGGTGCAGCACGCGCGTCTGCTGCTTGCGGAGCTCCTGACTGTCAGTGGCTCAGACCTGAGGTAGAGGAGTCCTGGGAGCGAAAGGGGGTGAGCCTCAACTGCAGACTCCAGAGCCGGTCCGAACCGGACCGAGGACAGGGACTTCCAGCACATCTGCGGCTGTTACGGTATTCTCATGCATGCTGCAACTGGGGAGCACCCAAGTCTTTTTCTTAATGATTCATTTATTTATGCACACAAGAACTGGGGTACAGGCCAGAAGAAGGGGGAGGGTGAGAGGATTCCCCAGAGACAGAGTGGGGAGCAGAACAGGCAGACGGACTGAAACACACTGCTGAGGGGCACAGCGGGGAGACAGGAGGGGTCTGCCGCGCCCTGTGGGTCTCTCCCTGGCCGGGGATCGAACTCGTGCCGCACCGGCTGTGCCTCCCCGTGCTCGCCTTGCACCACCAGGGAGGGCCCAAGGGAACAACCAAACTCTAAAGAGGTTCTAGTAAACCTTCACCCAACCATTCACTCAGCAAGCACACACCAAGCACCGTTCCCTCCTGGGGCTTGGCAGAGGTAAAGATCAACGCAGTGAGCCCCCCGGGATTCTCTGCTCTAAAAAGGGCATGATGACGTCAAGACCCAGCCACCACTGGAGGGCAGGCTGCCTGCCACACGGAAGCAGGGCGGGAGGACAGGATCCCGGGGCTGTCTCTCCTGGCTCCAGACTGGGAATCTTGCAGTCTGGCAAGGGACATAGGGGCTGGGGGCAGCTGTGAAGGGTACAGGAGTCAGCTCCCAAGGCAAGGCAGGAACAATCTGTGCATAATAGATAAGATTTGCAAACAACCCAACTGGCCATCAGCACTACACTGGGTAAGTCATGATGCAGTCACACAGCGGGTTACTGACCGCACCGAGATAAACAGAGTTGCTGGTACTCAGTAGCACGGGCTGCAGCGCAGACCCAACACAAAGGGCCTGCGTTGTGTGACTGCACGCGAGAGCCAGGTTCAAGGGCGAGCAGAGCTATGAGTGCTTCATTTGGGGCAGAGGCAGGGGCGACGGAATAGATCTGAGGAGCTGGGGAGCTCGACCTCGTGCTCTGTAGTGCTTGCGTGGTGCTGTAGCCCAGTCTAGGTCTAGATGTAGATGAGGGTAAAGACAGAACATTGGCCATGGACGTATAGGTGTGGTTGTGGATACTGGTATGGGCCCAGCACTCGGGGCTCAGTGCTCTGTGGTCAGCATCTCGAAATTCTCAATAACTGGATCTTTGAGCCTGAGCTCTGTAAAGGAAGCTGGACGGCACGATGGAACACATGCCGAGCGCTGAGCGCCTCGGTTCGCCAGCTGTCCCCCGCTTCCACCTTCCCGGACAAGTTCTGGACTGTAAACGCTCATCCTTTCGTGGTCCTGCCTTGCCCAGCCACGCTCCTTGCCCCCCACCATGGCTAAGGGACCTGGGCACAGGTGCAAAGCAAGTCAGATCTAACCACCCTGCCCCCCCCCCCCGCACCTCACTCCGCAGTCTCTGTCCTAGCCTGGCATCACCCAGCACGTTTCGTGGGTAAATCAGCAGAAAGAGCTTCCCTCCCTCCGCCAGCTCACGCACCCGTGTCTCGGTGTGGCGGCTGCAGCGCTCTTGAGGTGCCTGCATCCCTGGACTCCTGGTCCCTTCTTCCCCCTCAGAGCCAGCAAAGGCCAGTCCGGTCCATTATGCTAGGCCACCTCCGACTCTTGTCCCGCCTCTCCCCACGTTCAGGGATCCTCGCAATCACATTAAGCCCACCCGTAGTCCGGTAGGCTCTATCCACGGTTACGTGATCTGCAACCTTATTTCGCTGCGACACAAAACATATTCGCGGGTCCTGGGAGTGGAGTGAGGGGCCTGGGGGAGCGCAGGGCTATTCTGCTCTCCAGCTGCACCACTTCTTCTAACTTCACTGTAGTTTTTTTCAGCAGAAAAACCTGTTATAGAAAGTCCCGAGGCACCCACAAAACCAAAAGCAGCTGCTAGAACTAATCGATGAGTTTGGCAAGGCCACTCAGATGCAGGCCCGAACCAGAGGCACGTCTGTGTCCCCCTACTAGCAACAGGTCCCTGGAAGCTGAAAATGTAAAGTACCATTTGCATCAAGAATCAAATGTTGAAGAATAATCTTTCTTAAAGATGTGTGACCAGCTACAAAACACCAGTGTGAGAAATTAATGAAAATCTTTAAAATTGAGACAGACAGATTCCCTGTTTGTGGACTCGAAAAGTCAACATTTTAGAGCTGTTCATTCTTCCCAAATTCACCAGGAGAGTCTACACGATCCCAAGCAACATCACAGTGTGCCCTTTTGTAGAAATTAAGAAGCTGGCTCTAAAATCTACATGGAAAAGCAGGGAACCTAGAACGGTCAAAACAATTTTGAATAATAGCTAAGTTGGAAGGCTCATGCTATCATACATATGTTTAAAGATTTATTTATTTATGCACACTGAACTGGGGTACAGGCCAGATGTGCAGGGGCAGTGAGAGGATTCACCAGAGACAGAGCGGGGGGCAGAACAGGCAGATTGGTGAAGTGCACTGCTGACGGGAGCAGCGGGGAGACTGGAGAGGTCTGCCACGCCATGTGGATCACTTCCCTGGCTGGGGATGGAACTTGCACTGAAGCGACTGTAGCGAGCTTGCAGTGCTGCCTCGTAACCCCTTGCACCACCAGGGAGGGCCCTCATGCAATCATACTTTAAGAGTTACTATAAAACTACATACCGTGAAGCTATAATCAAGACAGCATGGGCTTGACATAAGGGTAGACATAGGTAATAGCACAGACTAGAGATTCCTGAGACACATGTACTAATTTTTTACAAAGACTTCCTTAAAGAGCAGGAAACACCCTTCTTATGAGCCAAAAATGTCCACCACAGCCGGTCCTGCCCCCTGGGCAGGAAATGCCCCCTCTCTGGAGGTGTGAAAGATGAGTTTCCTGTCCCAAAAAGACTTCTGCTAAGACCACTCTCCCTGCGCGAGCAGCGGGCCGCTGTCCGCGGTGCTGAAACCTCACTGCTTCCCCAGGCGCCACAACCCTCCGCGTCTGGGACTGTGCAGCCGCTCCCTGCCCTGTTTCGATGCACATTTTTCTACTTGTATGCATGATCAAAATCTAAGGATAATTACTTGTTTGTTTTGGAAATATCACACATGTACAAAATTAGAATAGTTAAGGGAGCTTCTGCGCACTACCTCCCACTGTAGCTTGTCAGCTCACTCCCTTCCGCTCTCACCCTTTCCCACCCAGACTGTTTCAGCACAGGTCACGTGCTTCAGCATTTCGTAACTGCGTCTACTACAGAGCTCTAGAAGAGAACATCTCTTTGGGCCCCCCACGGGCCCCTGCCCTCCAAGGGCCCCTTCTGGTCAGCCTCGGGCGGGGCGTGGCTTCGGGGTTTTGCTCAGTTATTTAAGAAAAAACATTTGCTGGTCAGGGCTTGGGGTTGGTTGACTTGCCACAGACGTCCAGCCACGTTCTAAATGAACTCTTTGGAAGCATATTCTCGACACGTAACACAACTGAAAGTAGTGATTATGCATTAACGTCACCAGACACCTGGTGAGCACATGTGACAGGTGGGTGGGTGGGTGGGAAGCCAAGTCAGGGGGGTCAAGGCCACGGCTGGACAGGTCCTAGGCAGCCAGGGCCGAGGTGCTCACTGGAACCTGGAGATGACCTGCCTCAGGTAGACAGGCCCCTCCCACCTGGGGGGCAGCACCTGTGCCTGCCCCAGCAAGGGTCAGCCGAGGAGTCAGGCAAGCTCAGCCCCGGGTGTTCCTTCCGCCCTCCTCTCCGCGCCCACCCACCCACTCTGCCCTCACCATTTTGCTGCCCTCCCCGCCGCCCTCCAACGACGGCCCCAGCCCAGGCTGGTCATCATCTGACCGCGTCCTCCGTGAGCCCCTCCGCCTGCCGCCCGCACCGCAGGGCGCACAGCTCAGGGGAAACACACCCCTCGCCCAAACCTCAGATTTCCCGCACGCGTTCTCCTGTCTTGCAGACTCCTCTCATCTTTCATCCTTATCCCACCTGATAGCCCGCCTCACAGAGGTCTCTCACGTCACAGCGCTGACATCTCGGGGTGACGGCACCTCCCTGCTGACGCTCAGCCTCTGCTCCCCCCAGGTCTGTCCCTTTACTCCCTTCCCCCTTTCTCTCACACACACCCCTCCCCTCCCCCCAATCCGCATCTCCTAGAGCTTCTGCTGTAAGACAGGAGGGGGTGCCCCGGGGGGCGGGGCCAGAGGACCTGAGGCTCTGGACCCCCAAGGGAGGGTCCTCAAGCTTCCAAAGAAACAAGGGGTGGGGGGCAGGGACCTCTAGGCACCCCAACAGAGCACAGACACCTGGCTTTCTGACTTTATTCCCTCTGCCCCTTCCCCGCAGGATGGGCCCAACAGGAAGTCAGAGATTGAGGTGCGGGGTGAAGGGGTGGGTGTCCTGTCTGAGCAGCTCAGGGAAAGGATCTCCAGGAGGCGCCCACACCCGGCTGCCATCTGATGCGCTGCCATCTGATGCGCATCCTCCGGCTGCTGGAGGTGCCTGCGAGCGAGCGTGCCACGGCCGGGTGCAGCCCACAGCGCTGCCACAGAGCAGCTCCGGGCTGTCAGCAGATGCTGATACAGCTGCAAATGATCATCTGAGAAACCTGCCCCAGGGGCAGGGCGACCTGGGAGCAGTGGCCTGGAGCCCCCCCACAGGCCCTCCCCAGAGACGGGCACCCCGCCCGAGGGAGCGGTTCCTTGGAGCAGAGGCAGGGGGCGCGGGGAGGTCCCTTCCTGCCCCTGGGGGCCCCTGCCTCCCTGATCTGGGGGTGTCTGAGAGGAAGGGGAGGTCCCTTCCTGCCCCTGGGGGCCCCT